CACGGCAGCAGAGAGCAAAGCAAGGAGAGGAGCATGGAAACATCTGCTCCCTAGGGACCTTCAGGATGCTCTTTTTAGGGGCTAGGAAGGGCAGCTGCAGGGAGCTGGGTGCCAGGAGATACTGTGAAGTGGCACAAAAGAGGGGAAGCAACGCTGAGCTGTCAGGCAGTCAAGACAGACATCATGGGGACAGACATGGGGATGGGGCCTGTGTGGCCAGGCTAGGGCAGGAGACAGTGGCAGGAAAGGGACAAGTGTTTTGCCGTGCTGCCCTGGGCTGGATGGTGATAGCCCCACATGCCCGGGGGTGGCTGCAAAGCGCTCACATCCTGCGGTGCTGCATGTTGCAGGCAGCTTGTGCAAACCACAGTGCTGGCATGTCGGGGAGGGCAGGCGGATGCCACATCTTTGTGTGCTGTGAGGAGGCGAATATCCCTGCCCTTTGCACCTGCATCCTGCCTGTGCCCCCAGGCAGGCACCCAGGGGCATTAGCCAAGGCAGGGAGGGCACCCCAGTGGCACCCAGCCCCTGGACACCCGTCGCTGCACCCACCTGGACAGACAGCAGCCCCTCATCATTGGGGAGGATGCGGTAGGTGTGGACGTGCCGCTGGAACCTGGGAGAGAGCAGAGGAGGGTTCCCCATCACACCCCCCATGACACTGTGGGTGTGTGGCAGCACCCAGCCCTGATGCAAACACCCCATTCCTTCTGCAGAGAGAGGAACTCTCATTTCATAAAAGCATCACCCTCAGCTCTGAGTTTGTACCGGTTTGCGGGGGGGATGCGCAGTGTCCACTCATCTCCAGATAGTGCTCTGCCTGCATGGGCACGGCCGGGAGCTCAGCCACATCTCCACCAGCATTCAGTGGGGCACCCCATGGCACTGTGTGGCAGTGAGGGTTTCATGGCAGCCCAATTCATGACAGCCAACGGCTGCCATAGCATGGTCATACTCGCCCTGGTGCCCCTGCACATCCCTGCCTGTGCCACCATCCTGTCCGGCACCAGTGCTGGGATGCTGGCGAATGCCGGCTAAGCTCCCGGCATTCCCCGCTCCCCTCAGCACCATGTGTTTGCAATTTGTCCCGTGCACTGGGCCAGGCCAGCGGTAGGGAAGGGGGTGGCATCCCTCCAAACCCACCAGGCACCGCCCCACATGCTGCAGACATGTCGCTCAGCTGCAGGAAGGGTGCAGGCAGCAAGCAGTGGTGCAGGCAGCCCTGGTAGCAGTGCTTTCAGGGTGTGGGGATGGCAACGGACCCGTGAGTGGCAGGGGATGTAACCCTGAAGTCCCAGCATCTGAGATGTTAACAGCAGACGTCACGGTGCAGATGTGGCCATTGGGGGTTGGAGGAAGAGGGGATGTTTGTTTTTGCAGAGGGAGAGAGGTCTGAGTCAGCCTCTCCAGCTCCCACAGCCAGCAGGCAGCCCAAAATGGCTTGGCGTGCCCTGGATTTCGGGTTCTCCCTTCAGCAATGCTGGTGCTGGGCAGGGCTGTGGGCCCAGGCTCCTGCCTGCTCCCAAGGATGCAGGGTTCTCCATTGGCCTGACATGGGCATCGCTCCAAAACCCCTGTGCCAGAGTCTGGCAGCCAGCTCACCCACCAGCAACCCTGCAGCAGGTTTTGGCCATAGCAGGAGCAGGGAGAGCGATGGAGGGACCCGGTGATGGACAAAAGAGAGAAGCCCCAAGCAGAAGCCAGGCAGGTGACTTACAGGAGGCAAAGGGCATACGCTCCTGATACTGACTCGCTGTCCCGCACCAGGAAGCAGCCATCCCGCCCGGCCTTGGCCAGCAGCTCCTCTGCCATCACACGGCTGATGTCCCGGTGGTACCAGTTTGCTGCCGCCATCCTCTGAAGCAGAGGGACAGTGGCTGTGCTGTGTCCCTCTCCCAGCCCTGCATCTGGGCTCAACAGCAGCTACTGGCCATCAGCTAGCCCATGGAGTGGGCTGGAGAAGGCGAAGGCGGGGGATGATGTGGGACACCAGCTCCCTGATACCCAAGTGAGTTGCTGGCTGCAGGTCCCAGTAGGTGATGGGCAGCCACCGAGGTGATGCTCATGGAGATGGGGTACCCCGCGGCCAGGCTGTGTTGCAGGAGCAGGGCCAGGGGAGCAGCTGTTGGAGGCTGGGGGTCCCAACACTTCTCATCAAGGGAGGCTCCAGCCTGTGGGTGTACAGCAGCAGAGATCAGAGAATGGATCTTCCCCTTGGAGGGGGGATCACCCCCTGCTGTCACCCAGTGTCCCCATCCTGTCTCGGTGCACGGCCAGGACAGGCCATGCTGGTGTCCCAGCAGCACGCAGGGACCCAGACCTCCCCCAGCACACTCACCGTCCCCCGCAGGTGCAGTGCGGGGTGCTGCGGGCAGGGAGCCGAGCTTTCGGGGTGCAGCCAAGCAGGAGAGGAGCTGTGATGCTGCACCGGCCGCTTGGGGCTTCCTCCCGTGGGGCCGCTCTGCCCGTCACACGCTGACGGCGGGGCGGCAGCAGGCGGTCAGCAGCACCCACACTGATGGACCCAGCCTGGGGCTCCACCACCGGGGCCGCGGCTCCGTGCCCCGTGCTGCTCGCTCGGCACCGCGGCGGCCGCCGCGCTCTTCCTCCTCCTCTGCTCTCGCCGCTGCCGGGACCAGCCTCCTCGCTCCTCCTCCAGCTCCAGCCCCGCTACGGGGGGAAGCCCGTGGCTGAGCACGGCCGGGTGCAGGCAAGGAGCAGTCCTGAGCAGGGGCTCAGCCCCCCGCTGCTCATCGTACCCTGGGGCAAGGGGCAGTGAAGGGCAGAGCCCAGTCCTTTGGGCAGGACCACGAGAGAAGGGACAGACAGTGGTGTGGGACAACAGCAAGCCCCTGAAGTGTGTTTGCGGTGGTGGGCAGGCGAGCAGCCTGCATGCAGCGACCGAGCTGCCCACTGCTGGAAACCTTGCTGCCTGCGCTGGGGCTGAGCTCTGCTGCTGGCTGCTGGCTGCTTGGAGGCAGAGGTGCTGCGGGCATCGGGTGGCCAAGCGAGCCAGGCGCCCACAGTGGCATTCATGTCACGCTGTGAGTGCAATGCCTGCAGGCAGAAGGGAAATGGGGTTTGGGGGCTCCTGGGAAGGGGTCAGGAAGGAGGGAGGCTTTTCCTGGCAGCACAGGGCTGTAACCAGCACCCGGGTTCCCTCCTGGTACCTCCTGCGTACAGACCCAGAGGTTTTGCTCCTTGTGGCGCATGCTGCTGCTGGGGTGATTAGCACAAGTTAATTACAGATAAGTAGCACCGTCTGCTGCCAGAGCACTCAGAAGCATGAGGGCTGCTCTGAATGGAGACAGGACAATGGGCTCCTGCCAGGGGGGGATGAGGTTGAGGATGGAGTGCCCTGCCAAGCCATGCTCCTGGCTGTCTGCTGCTCTTGGCATCAGGAGCCATGAGCCATGCAAAGGGACTGCTCCTCGCCACCAGCCCATTGGTGCAGATATGGCAAAAGCCCCGGCCAAGGCTTCCTACTGGGCTCCCAGCCTCGAGAGGAACCGGTGGTAGGGCCCACTGAGAAGTCAGGCAGCCTGCTTGATTTTGGTATGGAGGCTCTGGGCCACACGGCAGTGGTTGCACCTCTCACCAGTGCCTGCCATGGGGACATGCAGTGATGGCAGGTCTGTGCAGAGATGGCAGCAGCAGACCCCCATTCCTGTCAGAGACCCACATCCTGCCAGAGACCTGCTCCCACCAGCACTGCTCTCTGTTACTTAACAGAGCGGCAGTAATTCCCCGCAGCGCGGAGGTGCCTGGCTTCAGATTAATGCCGTCTGTGCCGCCTAATCTGGATGAGGGAAGGAAGCCCTGGAGCTCTGAGGGGCTTTGAGGAATCAGCGGCATTGGCTGTGTTTATGTAAGGTGGCTGCGGTCTGCAGTGCCAGGTGCTGAGCAGGGACGTTGCCAGATGCACCAGCGCTCAGGGAGCCCTGCCAGCACCGGGGACACTTGGATATTGGAAGGCAATGTGGGTTCACCAGTGCCAGCTTGCTGGGTGGCTCCGGCTCCCCCCAGGCTCCCTTCAGGCATTGGAACATGATGCCCACGGCAGTGCTGGAGTCACCGTCCCTGGAAGTGTTCACAAACCGTGCAGACGAGGCCCTCAGTGACATGGGTTGGTGGTGGCCTTGGCAGTGTGGGTTGGACTTGGTGATCTTAAAGGTCTTTTCCAACCTGGTCGATTCCATGATTCAGAGGACAGACCCTGCAGGCGAAGTGGGAAAGATGTGGGAAGCTCCGTGGCTGTTCCCTGGGGAGGCAGGACACTTCAGGGCACTGGATGCCAGGGATAAACCAGATGTTTGAGCTGCGCATCACACAGCACCTGGACCTGGAGGGACAAGTGGGATGAGACATATGAGAGGAGCCTTTGGCTATTTATTAAACAGGAAAAAGGAAGAAGCCCTCTCTCATTTCCCTATAATTTTTAACAAGGTGCTGCATCCCCCAGCTTCCTTCCCCGGTGCTTGGTTCAGAGCACAGTGCAAGGGAAGGGATGTGGCCTGTCTGTCTCACCACTGGTCTGGGGAGGGGAAATCTCTTCCCCCCACATTGGCAAGGAAGGTCGCCCTGGCTGAATCCACCCAGTCAGGATTAAACCGAGCTGAAGCCTCCCGTGATGAAATCTGCTCTCCAACCTCACCCTGCTCCACAGACCCCGTGGCCAGAGCGCCTGTGAACAGCACCGGTCTCAGGGGCCTTATTAAGAGCCTAATGAAGAGCAGCAAACAGAGAGCTCAGGATTAGGTGCCTGGGGCATGGCGCTGGGGGTGGGCACTTCCCTGTCCCCCCGTGTCCAGGTGGGGCTGCCTCCTCCTCTTCCACTCGCCAGGGGGGAGGTCACAGTTCACGTGTCCCCCTGACCTTGGCAGAAATAGCACCCGCTAAGCTGCAAACTAAGAAGCTCTCCTGTGTGCAATTAAAGAGATCACAAGTCCCGGCCTTTGTGCAACGTGTGTGACAGCTAAAGCCCTGGGCAGTGGGGCTGGCATGCCCTGGTGGCTCCTGGTGGCTACCAGTGGCCCATAGGAATAAGGACACAGGTGGGCTGCGTTTGAGAGGAGCTGGTACCCAGGTGATGAAGGTTGTTAGGCTGATGCAGAGTGCAGGGAGGAGATTATGGCTGTGTCTTCGTCCTGAGGCACAGCCATGAGCAGGAGCATCCTGACCTCAGCGCTCAGCTCTGGGGTCTGAGCCAGGACCAAGTGTGTGCTCAAAGTAAAGGGTCTGGCTGAGCAGGCAAGAGCTTGAGGGATGCTGGAGGTGAGGAAGATGAGAGGGGCCTTGCTGGAGCAGTTTGCAGGCTGCCCTGGGCTGCCCCTGTAGTCTGTGCTCTGTCCCTAGGGCCAGCCCAGGGGCAGCGTCAATGAGCATCCTGCAGCCACCTCTCTGGGAGTGGGATCCCCTGCACTGGCTGCAGCCAAGGAAGAACAATAGTGAGGAATGCTGCTCTCCTGGCTGGCATAGGGCAAATCCACTCCGTGCTTTCAAGAGTTTTCTATTTGCAGCAGCAAACCTTGAATTAATGATGTGCTAATAGGGTCAGGTGAGGACAGCCTGTGGTGTTATGAAATGATGTGGGGCCTGCCCAGTGGTGCTGGGGGATGGTGACAGGTCTGTGTCCCACCACTGAGGGATGGCTGGCCCTTCCTGCTGCCTGCAGGGTCAAACAGCCTGGTGTGGCAGCTGCCACTGCAGCCCTGAGCCTCATGTGTGTCTTTGATCTTGTACAGCAGCATCCCTGTAGCAAGGGTGTCCCATGTGCCCTGGACCACAGTGGATCACCGTTAGGTGACTAGCCACATGGGCATATTGGCCATGCAAGAAGCTGCCTGCACCTCCTGTCAGTCAGTTGGCCATCCAGCAAAGTGCATGAGGGAGGGATAAAACTGGGCACATCCATCTCTGCCATCTCCATCCATGCTTGTGCCCAGGGCTGGCCCTGCTCCCCTTGCCATGGGAGCAGCTGCAGACAGCCACTGTGGAAATCTGTCCCTGCCCACCAGGAGCAGAGCTTCCACCTCAATTACCATCACCTTGCTCCTAAGCCTGCTTTGCCAATCTCCATAAGCAGCTTTCCCAGGACTCTGGCAGAAGCTGTATTTATAGCTCACTCTTACTTACGGAGCGTCTCTCCAACTAATAAACTAATAGGATTCCTCCTGAAAGTACCTCTCCCAAGGTACACACACACACACACACACCCCTGCATCTCCAGCCAAAGATCAGATGCCAGGGGAGGGACCACCAGAGGGGTATAAGAAGCTTCAGCTCTGGGAGCAGCCTGTTGTGACTGCGTGGCAGCAGGACGTGGTGGGAGAGGAAGAGGAGAGCGTCTGTCTGCCTGTCTGTCTGTCCACCTGCCGGGTGAGTGCTGCCTGATCTGCTGCCTGGGCCCTGCAGGTGCTTTGGGGCACTGATTCTGCTGTTTGGTCAAACACTTGGCAGCAGGGACATTGGTGCTGGACTGGGGCTGGAAGGAGAGTGGTTTGGGGCTGAAGGGAGATAAACGTGGCCAAAAGGATTTCAGTGTTGGCAGAGCCAGAGGGCATGGGTGAAGGGGTTCAGTAGCAGCAAGAGAGAGCTTAGCAAAGTAGGAGGGGCCAAGTCCCCTCTCTGGATCTTGGGAGATGAGGAGTTCAGCTCTTCTCCACCTTTCATCACTTTATCTCCAATTCCTGGATTCTGGAGAAGGCTGAGCCTGTGGCACTGCTCTGCTGCTCCCACTCCCTTCACAACTTTTCTTGCTGCTGCCCAAGAAACCGTGCAGGTGAGCATGCCCAAGCTTCACATCCTGAAGCACTTGATGGCATCAAAGATCCTGTGTCTGGGACTAATCCCTTGTTTTTCCATGGGGAAGAGGATAATCTCCTCCCCCCTGTATCAACTTCTTTCTCCTCAGCATCCCTGTGGTTGCATAAAGAAGCAATGTGCCCACATGCCCCTGGGGCTTAGAACCCTGACAGGGCTTAAGCTCTGCTAACGTCAAGAGCTACCTAACTTTAAGAAGCTGAGTTCATCCCATCTAATATCTGGGTGATCAGCTGGTGATCCGTGTGATAGTTACGGTTTAATTCTGGACATCAAGCTCAAGCAACCAAAACACAGGCAGCACCACTGGGCAGGGCTGGGCAGCATGAAGGCAGAGCTGCAAGAGCTGCCCTCCTGGAACCATCACTGGCACTGCCAACCAGGAATGGGGATGGAGGAGCTCTGCACCCTGAGACTCCCCCTGCCCACAGGGTGAACGTTAAGGTGCCCTTGACCTTTCTGCTTACGGTTTCCTCACTCACTGGTGAGTGACGGGACAAAACAAGCCTGCTCCTGCTGTTCAGCCATGCCACCAATTTCTTGCAGACAACAGAGATTCATAAAATTGAAACTCTGTAAGCTCTTTTGTTCATTTTCCTGCCTGTTCCAGACTTGATCTGGCTCCCTTCAGAGTCACTTGTGAGCTTCCTATTTTCTGAAGCCTGCCTGCCTGGAGCATTGCTCTCCCCTTTTCTCTTCCACCTCCTCTTCGCCGCCTTTTCAACAGGGGGAAGGGGTTTCCACAGCTTGGCTGCCCCACTGGGTCACAGAACTACCGTGTGCCTCATGTGCTGTCTCGAAGCTGAACCTGGAGCATCTGAGCTCTGCCGAGGCAAAAGGCCCAGCAGTGCTCTCCAAGTGTGTTAGCACATGATTCTGTCCTGCTGCAGTTGCCCCTTCCCCACCGCCTCACCCAGCACCTCTTCTCCATCTCCCCACAGATCCCCACCTGCACAGCCACTGACTTAAAATGGCAGATGGAGCAAAGTAAGTGCTTTGTTTGATTTGTTTTAACTGTGATGGAGCAGAGTGTGCTGCGGGACAGGAGCAGAGGGAGAAAAGGAACCCCCTGGCTCCCCTCATGGCCGATACACGAGCTCACTGTAGAGAGATTGAGTGAGCCATTGTAGAGCCAACAAAACGCATTCTCTTTTCTTCTGTGCGTTGGTGCTTTCTTGTTCTTAAGACACAGACAGCTAACGCACCCCCTCCTCAATGGTCATGCATGGAGCTCAGGAGCATGACATCTCCCTGGGTGGCCTGGTGAATGGGGTGGGTTTGGCTCTGAATTTGCAGGATACCAAAATTCCCAAGGGCAGGACACCCTGTGCGTGCTCTGGCACAGGTCTTGGAGATGCACCACGCTTGCAGGCTTGCAGGAAAGCCTGCTCCTCCTTGCTCCAGGGAGAAGAATGGCCATCCCCCTCCCTCCCTGACCTGGGAGTGGGATGTGCCACCTCATCCAGCCTCATCCAGGCTTCCCAACATGTCTGTCTGTGTCTCCTCTGCAGGGTGTTCAAGAAGACCAGCCCCAACAGCAAGGTGAGTCCATGCACACAGAGAGGGCACCATGTGCCCCATCCCTGGGTGTGAGTCAACCTAAGTGTGGGCTGTGCTGGGTCTCCTTTGAGGTGGCTCTGCCCATTGGACAGGACATAGGCTGGGTTTCCCTTCCCTTTGAAACTTGACTGATTCCTGCTGTGCCTGCTCTGATGCCATCATAGGGCTCGCTTTTCAAAACAGAGATGAATAAAACCCCAACTATATGAACCTTTAAATGCAAGGCCTGGTCCAACATGTTATCAGCAGGGTTAAGGAGCCCCACAATACAACTTAAAGATTGAACATTTTGGCTAATTCAATGGCAAACACTTATTTCCCTCTTTCTTTTAACCACATGCTGCCTCCAGCTATCCATCTACCTGGGGAAGAGAGACTTTGTGGACCATGTGGATTCAGTGGACTCTGTAGGTGAGTGGAGCCATGCCTCTCACAGAGAGAGAAGCACAGGCAATGTTTGGTCACCTTCCCAGCTGGTGGGCAGATGGCAGATGGCTGGAACTTAGGAAATGCTGTGTTTCTGCAAGGATCTGCCCAGGCAGCTGAGCTGACCGGCCCTTCTCTGTTTGCAGATGGTGTCTGCCTGATTGACCCGGAGTACCTAAAGGACAGAAAAGGTATTAATACAGAAACACCGTGTTTTAAGGGGAAGAAATGGAAACCAGTGCAAAGCTCCTCAGCAACCTGGGATTGGAGTCAGGTTAAAGCTGCCATGTCTAAAGGGTTTATATACAGCTGCTTGTCCATCAGGGTCCTAGAAGGTGACCTGGAGGGGAAGGCTGCCTCTTTCTTCTCATCTCTTCTGCATGGGGCACCGGCTCTGAAGCTACTTGTGCCTTGCAGAAAGATGTGTTAACTTCATCAAGTTAATCTGTAAATGAAGTGAATCTGTAAACTTAGCGCTTGAGGTCCAGGTCCTCAAAACAGTCCTGTGTCTGCTGAAGAGATATTAGTTTTTCTTTCTTTCCTCTTTATTTAACGCTTTCCCCATGCCTCCCCTTTATCCTACCTTCTTCCTAACCCTTCTCCTCTCTGTTTCCATCCCACTTCAGTGTACGTGACACTGACCTGCGCGTTTCGCTATGGCCGAGACGACCTTGACGTTATCGGACTGACCTTCAGGAAGGACCTCTATGTCCTCACCACCCAGATCTTCCCACCAGTGCCGGACCAGACACCCAAAACCCTCACTCCTTTGCAGGAGAAGCTGATGAAGAAGCTTGGGGAGAATGCCTACCCCTTCACCTTTGAGGTAGGGGATGCTCTACCCTTCCTGATCACCCCCCCCCCCCCCATGGTGTGCACCAGGGCTCATCGCTGGGCACATTCTTTATTCACTTTTTTCTCTCTTTCCCTGTTCTGCCCAGATTGCCACCAACCTGCCCTGCTCGGTCACCCTCCAGCCAGGACCGGATGATGTGGGAAAGGTGAGCTGCTGTCCCTGACCCGTGTCCCTGGACCCATTCCCCCTGGCAGAAGGTTAAGTTGTGGGGTGCAAAAAATGAGAGCTGATTCTCTTCCATGGCAATATGGCCCATGGGTGAGGGTTGGGGAGGAAGGATGAATGGACTTGGGACCAGCATCTCCAGGGATGCAGTGGAGAAAGGAGGAGTAGCTCTGAGCTCCCCCTGCTTAGTGACCATACATGTCCCCACAGGCCTGTGGTGTGGACTTTGAGGTCAAAGGATTTTGCGCTGAAAATCTGGAGGAGAAAATTCACAAGAGGTATTTGCAGGGGATCCCTTTCCTGCCCCATGACCCTAAAACCAAACCATGGGATCATTCTGGGGTAACCATCTCAGGAGTTGGGCCAAGGACGTGCTGTCAGCCTGTGCCGTGCTTGGGCGAGGCACTTCACCTGAAGGAGCAGCAGTGATCCCCATGTCAACACCCAACATGTTCTAAGAGCAGGCTGCAGCTTGCATCCTTTGGCTGGATACACTGTGATGTCCCCAAAGATGGCCAAAGTGCCCCCCTAGAAGGCTGTATTGACATGCCCCTGCCAAGGAGACTGGGGGTGACTGCTTTTTGTCCTGCAGGAACTCGGTGCGCCTCATCATCCGCAAGATCCAGTTTGCACCCCTGAAGATGGGGCCAGCCCCAAAGTCGGAGACCACCCGGCAGTTCATGATGTCTGACAAGCCCCTGCACCTCGAAGCTTCCCTGGATAAGGAGGTCCGTACAGAGCCTATCCCCTGGCTCGTGCCACCATGTGCATCCCCAGGGATGGTGACCAGGGTGCCTGATCACACAACCAAGCTTCTTCCTACTGCAGATCTATTACCATGGAGACCCCATCAACGTGACCGTCAATATCAACAACACCACCAACAAGATTGTGAAAAAAATTAAGATCTCAGGTGAGAGGGGCAGGAGGGGCACAGCACCCACCACATCCTGGCCTCCCTGTCAGAGATGGGGACCTCTGCCACATCACCAAAATTGCTCCCACTTGTCTTTCCTCAGTTGAGCAGATCACAGACGTCGTCCTCTATTCTCTGGATAAGTACACGAAGACTGTGTGCGCTGAGGAGATAAAGTAAGTAAAAAGGGGCTGGGGATGGTGCAGTATCACAGCCAGAGGGAGGAAGAGAAAGGAGGAGGAGGAGGGGAGAGTGATGGTTTTACATCAGGCAGCAGAAATATCAGGGTTAGCAGTGCAGATGCAGAGGAAGCAGAGGAGAGGGAAGGCTGTGGACACTGTGCCCCCAGCATAAGCTGGGCTGGGCAGGTCCCTGGGGGACAGTGCACAGCTGTCCCCTGGCTACTTCCTCTCCTCACTTTGCATGTCTGAGGCCAGCCACAGCCTCTGCACCTCTGAGGGCGAGGAGGGCCAGGGCAGAGGTGGGGGACAGGAAAAAGTGGTTGTACATGGGAATGAAAGGAGGAAACAGGCCCAGGCAGCTGCGTGGGGAGGACAGGGTGGGATGTCTGGCTCTGCCTGCATGCCTGGCACGATGTTTGAGTATCCCCAGTGAGTGCTGAGCACCCATCAGGCTGGTGCAGGCTCTGAGCTCTCCTTTCCAACCCCTTCCAGTGAGAACGTGGCAGCTAACTCCACCTTCTCCAAAACATACTCCGTCACCCCCTTGCTCTCGGCCAACCGTGAGAAGAGAGGCCTGGCTCTCGATGGCAAGCTCAAGCATGAGGACACCAACCTGGCCTCCAGTACCATGTAAGAGCCAGGTGGGCTCCCTCTGCTCCCCACCACAGCTGGACCTGTGCCTTGCCTTGAGTGGCAGCTTCCCGCTTCTCAGGATGCTCTGGGCTCCCACCAAGGATCCCCCACACCTCCTGTGACTGAACCCAGCCCACCCAGCTGGAAAATGTAGGGATTTCGTGACATGACCACAGACCCACCTTTTCATCTTGTAGAAGAGGCGTAGCCTCCCAGTCCCAACCATTGTCCCTCTACACAGTTGCATCAGGTCTTGTTTCAGGAGTAAATCCTAGCTCACACATCTCAAGTGACCTCCAGAAACTGCTCTGTGGCTTCAGCCAAATGACCTGCCCTCACCTCTCTTTTCCTACTACATTGTGCTGTCCTCTTGTGCTATACCCCAGTGCACCCACATGAAACAGGGCACAGAGACAGCCCTGGGAGCTGCTGGGGAGGGGAGCAGACAGGGTACGCGGGCAGCACTGCCCACCTCACCACCCCACTCTGCCTTTTTCCTAGCCTGAGACCTGGCATGGACAAGGAGGTGCTGGGCATCCTGGTGTCCTACAAAGTGAAGGTCAACCTGGTGGTGTCCCGAGGAGGGTGAGACTCTGCGGGCGTGAGGTCAGGGAGTATCCTCTTGGGCTGTGCTGTGGAATTTTCTACCACTGGGCAGATGGCAAAGGGACTCACGCCATTGGCCCCTCCCCTCCTCCCTGGGCCATGGAGCAGCTGGGCACTGCGCTGTCCTCTGACTCCCACTCCTCCAGCCCCGTCATCTCTGCCCTTCACCCCTATTATACATCATCTTCTACGTTATTATAAAGCAAAGTCTAACACTCCCCTCCTCTGCCTTGGCTGATTTCTGTTCCTTCTCTCCTGCTGCCACAGCATCCTGGGGGATCTCACTTCCAGGTAAGGGGAGAGCTGCCCGTGGGTCTGAGCACGATGTGGCACCAGGTAGGTTTATTGAAACAAGCGTTTTCCCTTCCAGCGATGTTGGTGTCGAGATGCCTGTCATCCTGATGCACCCAAAGCCTGAGGATGGTAAGTAGTGCCTGGATGCTGCTGACACTCGGGAGGAAAAGGCAGTCCCCATTTGGAGGCGGATTTGTAAAAGCAGTGCATCTGTGCAATGGGACTGTGTGACTGTGGCTGTGTGACAGGCAGAGCTCCTCTGGCTGTGTGGCAGCCTCTGTCCAGGACCAGTGTGGGAGCAGCTGCCACCCATCCCAACAGCTCTTTCCAGAAACACACCTGAGCATTAAGAAGAGATGTCAGTTGAAATGTCCTTTCTGTACTAACTAACATCTGTCTCTCTTCCAATCCTTGCCTCCCTGTGCTGTGCTTATCAATGGAGTACAGATAAGCCAAGGTAAAGAAACATTTATAACTCAGGCCAGTGTTTCCTCTAACACATAAACCACAGAGACCCATCACAAATAGATGTGACGCCTCATTCCAGTTTGAGGTTACATCCTTGGATTAAATCATCCAGGCCCCATGCAACAGCAGACAGGATGACAGCCCCCACAGCAGCAGGAGCATCGTCACAGTCTAGGAGGACTCAAATGCTGGGCTTGGCACATGCTCTGCAAATGTTCAGGCAGTGCTTATTTTGCAACTCTCCCTGCTCCAAACACGCAGCATCTTCTGCAGCAAGCCCAGCCTTGCCTTGTCCTTTGGAAGCAGCTGGCAGTGCTGTGTCTCCCATTCACAAGTGCCACCAGTGGACATTATGTCCCCTATGGCCTTGGTCCCCATCCTCCCCATGCTGAGGTCCCTGGGCTGCTGGAAGCGGGACTGGTTATGGCCTCATGCACTCCTCACTGCCAGAGTCCTCCTCCCACTACACGAGCTTATTCCAGCTGAAGCCACAGCTGGGATTGCTTCCCTCTGGGAAACTACAGCATGCCAAACCCATTCCTGGCAGCCATGCCTGGCAGCCACAGCCACCAACCAGCCCCACAGCCGGCCCTGGCCTGCAAAGCCCCCAAAGGCTGCTTTAGTGTCTGGTTACACCCTGCAATGGGACATGAGCACTGGGATTTGGGGCCTGGAAACTCAGACTGCAACTGCAAGGCTTTCACACCAAAGCCTATCGGTTTCCCAGCTCAGCGAGGATATTTAAACTTCCAGAGGAGGAAGTCTCTTGGCCTGTCCCCACCATCACTCCCTGTAAACTTTTGTCAAGAGGTTTCACATTCTCAAGCTTTTGGAATCAGTTTTGCTGACTGTTTTTTTTTCTGTTTTCTTTGCCCACTTCTCATTATGCGGCTCTTCCTTGATGTCATCTGCTGCTTGCCTTTCGCAAGAAGGTAACTAATCTCTTTGTCTCCACTTCAATTTCTTTTCCTTCTCTTTTTTCCCTTGACAATACATAATATTGTCCTTAAAAACTGGTGAAAGTCACAGGCAGCAGCCCAGCTCCTCCAGTCGCACATGCTCACAGTCAAGCCAGTGATCTGCCCTGGGTTTGTGTACTCAGGTCAGGCTGTGGGGCGCAGTGACCCTGCTGTCCCCCGAAGTGTGTGGGGTGACAGGGCAAGGTGAGCACTGCATTATCCCCTAGTAGGAGCAGAGTTAGGATGTGGGTGTTTGGGTGTCGGCAGGGTTTTCATAGAATTCCAGGTTGGAAGGGACCTCAAGGATCATCTGGTCCAACTTTCTAAGCAAAAAATGACCTAGTCTAGATATCCCAACACTGGCCAGGCAAATCTTACCAGTGTCCAGTGCTGGGGAATCTACCACTTCCAGGGGTGATTATTCCAATGGCTGGTTGCTCTCGCTGGGAATATTTTTCCCCTTGTGTCCATCTCAATCTCCCCAGGATTAACTTGTGCCCATTACTCCTTGTCTTTTCCATGTGACACCTTGTAAAAAGGGAGTCTCAGTCTTCTAAGATTTTGCCCTCTTCACTGTGGTGTGTCCAGGCAGCCAGCCAGTGGGCTCCCCATGGCCACCCTTCCATGCTCACCACACTCTGCTCTCCCTTCCAGCGAGGAGGACATCGTCATCGAGGAATTCGCTCGCCACAAACTCAAGGGGGAGAAAGACGATGAAGATGAGAAGGAGGAGGCTGACAAAGAGGAAAGCTAAGCTGCTGCCTGCTCGCACATACAGCCACCCGTCTCACCCGCCCTGGTTTGGGGCATAGATGCCCATAGCATTTTCCCCGCTGTACCACACGCGGTGCACACCCCGCCATGTGTTCCCCTAGCTGCACCTCCTTCCCTGACACCAAGCCCTGGCTGGGGCGGTAGGAGCCGCTGCATCTCCTCCCGGAACCCTGGAAAAGCCCGACTGCGTGCAGGACGATGCCCGCACCTCCTTCACCCATAGGCGCCAGCGAAGGGACGAGGAGGGTGGGCCGGAGCCCACCGGCATCAGCGTGTTTGTCGTTTGCCTGCGTGCTGCAATACTCTGTGACACAGTTATCAATAAACCCGCCCCAGTGGCCCGGTGCAGGCTCCGTGTGGTGGTACCGGGGCCTCGGACGAGCCTGAAGCGAGCGGGCGGTTCCTCGAAGCGGAGGAAGGAGGGCAGGGGGGCAGCTGCAGGACGCGGCCCTAGGCCGGGCCCCACACGCAGGCCTCAGGGGCGACCGCTCCCGTCGCCGTGGCAACCGCCCGCCCCGGGAAGGCGGTGCGCGGTGACGTGGCGGTGACGCCGTGAACGTGACGCGCGGGGCGGCGGTGGTGCCGGTGTGTGCTCGGCGGTGTCTCCTTCTCCTCAGTCACGGCTCCGGCTCGGCCCCCCCGCGCCGCCATGTCCGCGCCCAGCAGCGGCGGCGAGTTCGGGAACCCGCTGAGGAAGTTCAAGCTCGTCTTCCTGGGCGAGCAGAGCGGTGAGCGGCGCGGGGGCGCGGCGGGCGGCTGCGGCCTGGCGCCGGGCTTGGGGGGGGTGAGGAGCCGTCACGGGCCTTCCGCTGCGGGGGGCGGCGAGCGCCCGTTAAAGGCTCGGAGCGTGTGTTGGGGGCAGAAAGCGCTAAAGGCGCTCCGGGAAGGGGGTTGGGGGGGGTGAGGATCCGTCGAGGGCCGCTGGGTGGGGACCCGTGAGGGTCTGGCAGCGGCAGAACCGTCAAGCGCATTTCTCTGCTGAGGAGGGAGGCGGCAGCGAGCCGCCCGGGGCCCACGCGGGAGGCGGCGGCCAGAGGGCGCCCGCCCCAGGGAGAGGCGGCCTCGCCGTGCTCCGGCCTTGCGCCTCCGCTGGGGGAAGGCGAGGGCCTGGGGAGCACCCGGGGCTCCCGTCTTTACCGCGCTGGCTCCCCTCGGGCCTGGCTTCCCGCTGGCCGGGACTGGGCCTTCTACAGGGCCCGGCCCGCAGTGCGCCCGCAGCGGGGTTTGGCGGGGCGGGGAGGAGTCGTGGGGGGGGGCTCTCGGGCTGCTTCTGTTCCGCCCCGGGTGTTGTATCTCTGGCTGTGTCCACGCCGGCCGCGTGGCAAATACCGGAGGGAGAGTACATGGCAAAACGGTGGTTGTGCAGTGTGGCTGCTGCCTAGAGCTTCGTTTGTTTTGTTTTGTTTTGTTTTACCTGAAGTTGACTCTCTTTTGTACCCCTGCCGTCATAATATATGGGTGAGTTGTATCATTTTCTTGAAATGGTGGTATTTGCTGCATTGTTCTCTTTAGATCTTTAATTGCTTCCCCCCTTCTCGGTCCCAGAACTGTAGGTCTTGGAGGAATTTCCAGAAGTTGTCTTAATTCCCCTGCCTTACCAAGGTGGGATCAGGGGTATGCGGATAGACGTTTGACTGACCCGTTTTTAACCTTCCCTAGTGGTTACAATTTCACAACCTTTCTGGGTGATTTACCCTCTTCTTTTATCCATGGCCTTTGAATTTTTCTTGGCTTCCTCCAGCTTCCTGAGAGAGAATCTGAGCTCTTATCTTTAGTTCCTGTTTCTTGTCCCTTCTGCACTTTGTCTTTTGATAATATTTGGCAACGCAAATGTAAAGTTTTTAATCAAGCCACCAAAATTTACCTTCTATCTAAAATCTCATTGTGAGGAAAGGATGTAAGTTTTGAATGTTGCTTTTCCATCCAGCCAGAGGCAGCTGAACAGTGTCCAGGACATCAGTGTGTATTGGTTTGATGTTTATGCCTGTAAGTCCTAGACCTGGTGATTACATAAGTAGCAAAATATGAGTAACAAAGCAGATTATTGCTTGCTTAAAGCAAACCAATAGCTCTTTGTCAGATGCATCACAACATATCTAATTTGAGGATCAAGTGATTGTCATGATTTATTTTTGACCTACTGAGATTGATTTGGTTTAACATAGTTCTGTCATTTTGTGAATGACTTTCTTAGGTGGTTATTTCGCAGGAGGGGGTGGCTGGGAAATGGCCTTAGATTGGCAGCTTCGTTCTGATTCATTCCTCCCAAAGCAGTGGTGGTTTGGGTTTTTTTCCCACTGCTGCTTGAAAGTAATTTTTCTCTTCTTTTGTAGTTGGGAAGACCTCTCTGATCACCAGGTTTATGTATGACAGTTTTGACAATACTTACCAGGTATGTGGTTTTGAGCGTGGCTTTTTGGTTTTGATTTGTTTGGGTTTTGTTTTGGTATTGATATATATGTATATGTGTGTGTGTATAAATCTATCCCCCTCTATTAGTATTTGTGCCTGTGAGACCTGTTAGGGCCAAGCACATTTCCCCATGAGCTGTCAGTTCAGTATCATTTGTAAGGGTGGAATGTGCCTTGAAATGCAGATGAGACTTCACAATTAAGGCCAAGCATCTAATACGATGCCAGGAAGTGCAGTGTACAGAAAAGAAGCAAGGTTTAGATCCTGTATGTGTGTGAGAAGCCTTGAGGAAAAGGGGGATAAACATTGGTTTATGGGGTGGTGAACAGGGAAGACAAGGGTCAGGATGCCTTACAATGCATATGGGAGTCTCAGGAAACACAATGAATAAGGTACAAACATGCTTATGATTGTTCTTGGTCTCTGGCGTCTTTAGAAGCTTTCCATTTAAATAGGAATGGTTGAATCCAAAGTGTGTAGATAGATCCGCAAGAAGCGAGCATGGCATATTCTTTCTTTTTTTTTCTTTATTATTACTACTTTTTTTTAACTAAAAGGCTGTAGAGGGAGCTGATGAAGTCTCAACAGGGAAGGAGTGTGGTAGAGATGAAGAGGTGCAGATGGAAATCTGAAAATGTGTAAGAGGCCTGAAGATTTCAGGAAGAATTAGTTATGTCAAAAGCACTTGTCAGTATTTCAAGGAAATACCAAATATCTTTAAAGAAGATAAGACTAGGGTGTTATCTTGTAGTTAGGGTCAGAAAGAGTTACTGGTTTAGATTTGGGTTATTTTAAGTTGAAAAAGGAAGAGAAGATTGTTTTCTTGGTGGCAAGTCATTCACTGGAACTGTCTTTGGAAAGGTGCTCTTGTAGATTTATCTGCTTATTATAGTTGTTACAAACTGTGTCCTGGCTGCTGCTAGCTACAGAAATTGAATGTTGTGGTCTCTTCTAATGTTAAGTGGTTCACATTCTGATGGAGATCTTCCAGAACATGTTAAATGCTCCCTGTGTTTGTTAGGACCGGAGCTAGTCTGTCTAAAATACAAAAATCTGTTACATCAGTAACCTGACTCCTGGTTCCCGGGGTTATGATAGGACATCTGCTTGATTTAAGTGCCTGGGAGCACAGCTAGCTTGGTAAATTACTTTAAATGTCTTTGTACCAGAATTGCTGTGCAGCAATAGAAACGTGACTGGAAGGAGCTGTGAAATGAAGCGTCTGAATGTCACTGGAAAGGAAGCACATTCTGAAATGGAAAGCCTGAATAAACATTGCTTTTAAGCTTTCAGCACCGTTGCCCGCAATTTACATCTGTAATTTGCTTTACCTCTTAGATATTCCTAGTGAGATAATTCTTACCAGGCTGAATTGTGGTACACCAGAAGAGCAGGTGATCCCAGTTCAGATGCGATCTGTGTTAAGATGCATGAATGTCTGAGGCTAAAATCAAGACTCGGAGGTTCTTTGCAGTTGAGAAGTGCTGGAAGAATGATATGAAATGACAGTGGTGCAGGTATCCAGGTTGCTTTGTTGTTATCAGCTGCATTGAAGGCAGATGACTTCAGCAGCTTAATTCTAAGTTGGTGAACATTCCTGAGAGTTTTTGAAGACAGCTCTGATTTGCAGATGCTGGAAGGAAGCTTGCAGTTCCTAATGCTTTTCTTCTTTCCAGGCAACCATTGGAATTGATTTCCTGTCAAAAACGATGTATCTGGAAGACCGCACGGTAAGTGAGGCATCTCTGTGATAACATGGCAACTGCAGTCCTGGGAGCAGTGGTTACTGTGCACGCTGTTCCACTGGCCGTTCCTCCAACAGCTGCTAAAATCCCACAGCAGCCTTCAGAGGGACAGCCTTTGTCACTGGCCAGCTTTCCTTGTTTCCAATATTTGTTCATATCCGATACCTCTAGAATGAAGTAAAAATCTTTCATGCAAAACTGGGGCAAGCTAATGTCCAAATCCCGAGGAGTGGGCTGTCTGTTATATGTACTTTAAGCATAGTTTGCCTCTAGAATTTGCAGCTCTGCCTCTGGAATTGTCTGTATAAATGGGTCTGAGCAGAGCTGAGGCAGTTACAGGGCTGAAGTCTTTCATGATTACCAGCAGTGGTGTAGTTTCTTCTTGTAGGAAGGCTCCTTTTGTAATACAGTTCTAATGTACTGTTAATAAAACAGTTTTGGATTTAGCTTGCATGAGATTCCTCTTTGCATAAAGAGATCCCTCACATCCCTTTCCTGTCTTTCAGTATTTGTCTTTTCATTAATTTATGTTTTGCTGGTACTTGCCTTTTTTGCTAGTTTTACTACTGGCTAAGAAGTGTGATGCTGGTGCGGGAAGGAAGGGACCAGTGGTGCAGTAGAAGTCGTTTGTGTTGCTTTGGGTCTGTTGCTTCTGAGGAAGTCTCAGCCCAGTGTGTGTGGTGAGTTTCCCAAGTGCTTCTCTGCCATCTTGCCAGTGATTCACTGTTAGGAAAGACCTTGGCTTAATCTTTGGGAGAAACTGCTTGGATAACATTCTTCAATGGTACTGGCAGTAGCAGAAGAAAAAGATCCTGGAAATGCTGCTTGACACCTGTGAAAGCAACTTGGAATGCCTGTATTTGGTTTCCAGCAGTGTAGTCTTGATTTCTTGTGGCTGTGTAGGTCAGGATGTCATTCACCTGCTGGCCTGCTATCCCAAAAATACCATATTCATTGGGCATACTGCTAGTTTCTTGATTACGTAAGTGGTCCACAGCTCATAAAGCCTGTATAAACAAAGGAGAGGTGTTGAATGAAGATAAAAGGAGGGACAAATACAAGCACACAAGCTGGGAAGATTCAGACATTGAAATAATTTCTCAGCTATGGCTAATGCTGTGTTCTGCAATAGGCTTGCACTGCTCGGCTGGAAATTAAGAACGCTGAGCCTCTAACTGCAGTGTGTGCTTTGCCATACTTGATATGTCCTTACACCAAAGAATATATCCTGAAGACATACC